TGTAACATAAATGAAAGCAGCTATAATATAATTTATATAAAACATACGACATTTTCAATAGAAACATATATATATATATATATATGTTTCATATTATATATATATATATATATATAATATTATATATATATATATATATATATATATATATATATAAAACTGGTTTACAGAGGACAAAGAAACACATTTGGCAATTTACAATAACATCCTTTTTACATTTATTTTATTGCCTCATGATAATCTAAATAAAAAATGCAGGCAAACATACCAGTGAGTTTATTATAACAGTTTATTATAAACAGAAATAGGATGAAATAGTGCGGTACTAACAAAGAGGACAGTGTTATGAATTATTATTATTATTATATTTCACCAGAAAGCAACTATCACTTTACATGCTAGAAGACCATTATAAGTCACAGTATTGAAATTTGACAAAATAAATATTTATATAATATAGTGTCAGTATAATAGCCCAACACATATTTTTAAGACTCTGCTGCCTGGTCGTGATAACAGTCAAAGTGATTTATCAATTGTGCATTTTTCAGCTGCTCTTTGCACGTTAGACTCAATGAGCCATGGAAATATGACACGTGCCCAAAATGCTTTCTGCAAATCTTGTTTTTTGTGCAGCTAAATTAAATGCATTTCCCAGAAAGCAGATTCTCAAAATTCCTCCTTAGGTTCCCTAGAAGATAAAGCATTAACTATTTCTCCCCCCCCCCCCCCAAAAACACTCAGTTTATGACTCTACTGCTTTTACTGGACCCTCTATCAGTAACCTTCAGGTTTATGATCTGGCAAATGAATCGGTTGCTCTTTTTCACTTTTTGGATTTATTTCATAAATAAATAAATAACCTCACTTCTTTCACTCCTGCAATTTGTCTATGAAAGCAGACTTTTGAGAAAATATAAGACAAAAAAAAAAAAACACAAACATTGCGGTATAATATATGTATGATATTTGTCTGACAGGCGTGCATGACGGAAACATAAAATATACACATTTTCCTAGCGGCCCAGTGACTGTACGCATTGGAACAGGCAGAGCCTTGAGCTACGCCGGCCAGCAAGGCCCTTAACAGGGCTGTTAGACACTAGCAGGTTAAGCTCTCTGACCCCAATTAGCTGTGAACAAAAGCTGCTGTTAAATAAACATGTTTTAACAGTAGCGAAAAGGCGGCATTATCATTCGGAGGAAGCACAGATATAAATCAAGACCGGATGGAGACACAGTGGGCCAATAGCAAAAAAAAAGGTTCAGTCCATGTTATTATCATTCTGTGCATTTGAATCCGGTCAGGAGTATAAAGGACCTCGTGCTGGATTCTACAGCCGATCTGTTGGGGCTAACTGCTCTGGCAACACTCTATGCAGGTGCTGTGGTTCATTGCAGCAGTGGTTTATAGGGAGAATGATATGGTCTGACAGCTCGTTCTCCCCTATATTTTTGATGACTGGATCTGTGGTTGTATGGCTGTAGCCCAAGTTACAGCCCTCCCCTTACAACCTCAGCTCAACAGCAAAGCTGCTTGGCACGTCCACAACTGGCCACGTTTTCTTGACGTCCACCGATTCCACTCGAAACGTCGCCATTTTGAGCACACGGTTGTATCCCACAATGCATTTCACTCTGTTTGGACTGGTGACTTCCAGAACAACAGTCTTTCCCTTCATTCAATATACAGTATTAATGTACATACTGCAAACTGAACATGGACATTTGACTTCGTGTGTTCAGTGTAGAGTTCATTGTGCAGAAATACTTTGTCACAGTTCAGACCCAATCCCTTTTCCTAGACAAGGTCACAGGGAGCCTATCAGGGAGCACAAGGCAGGGGAACAGCCAATCACAAGGCTCACAAACTCATACACTACCGTGAATTTAACCAATATGTGAAACCTGTATGTCATTCGACTGTAGGAGTACTTGGACGAAACCTGCATTACATGCAAATTCCTCAAACACAGACTAAAGGTAGGATGTGAGCCTCCAATCCTGGAGATAGGACTAGGAATTACTAGTCATTTAAATGGCAGCTGCAAACATATTCGCCAGAAGAGCAACTGTCTGGAGACTGGCCTTGCAGGTACGGTTTTGAAAAGGAAGGGGCAATGACCCCTTGGGGACATTGTGCCGGCTCAGCCTTCAGCATGTGTGCACTCACCTGAAGTCTTGTTCTTGGACTTGATCTCTATCTCACACGTCCGCTTGGCACTGAACAGCAGGTGGATCTGCTCCTCCGTGGTGATAACATCATCAGCATCTATCTACGGCAGAAAGGCAAAACCTTTTAGGAACACAAGTCCGGAGACGCATCGGTAGGCGCTCAGAGTAACACCAGATATTCTCAATCAATCTCTCCCCAACCCCTCCAGCACACCAACGCACCACGACCATGACTTTATATCCCATGACTGAGTTCGAAAGAGAAAAAAGTAAATGTGTTGTTATCCAGAGTAATTGGATTACAGCAGGTAAACAGGCAGCTTAATGCATTCCTGTTCGCTGTCTGCTTTTAATTCGACTTTACAAAGTGATGATGACAGGCCTTTCAAGGGAAAGTTTAACTTCGTTTAGCCCAGGCACAAGTTCTCCTGTTTTAATTTACGCTTGTGTGGGTATCGGGGAAACAGCAGAAACAGAGGCCTGTACTGAATCAGCGTCCGCACCTGAACTTCCAAATCAACGTTATGGCCTAAAAAATCAGCGGGCTTTCCAGAGTGAAGTAAAGCAAAAAAAAAAAAGTGTAAATAGGATTAAAATAAACGATTGAATTACAAATGCAGAATAATTAACAGACGGAACAGAAAATATTTGACGGTTGACACTTTTATGAGTCAGTGATGTATTATACATCTGAAGCTGAGTGGGGAAACACAATCTCTTCCAGAGCTCCCATATGTCAGCGGGAAACCCTCCGCGGCATATTTTCGGTGGATGCCGTACCTTTCCGACGTGCCAGATTTCCAATCAAGTCATTCATATTAATGCTGCGTTTCACCAATCCAAACACGCCGAACACTGGCTCTTGTTCCCCACCGTCAGGCTGGCCAGCAACTGGCGCGGAACGGACGGGAACCGCAGCCGAAATCTAACCGGAGCCAGAAATTCCCTTTTTTTGGAAGTTTATAAATCCAAACAGTTTAAAGACTCGATGACAGATGAATTTCATTAATTGACTCCCTTTTGCTCGCTGATTTTTTTCTTTTTTTTATGAATGGGATTTAAATGATCCCTGAAGACCCCAGGGGGGGGATTCTAAGGTGCCCCCAAGCTACGAAAAGCTAATATTTGCCTGACTTGAAAGGCTGCCTGTTTCCCCCCCCCCCTTTGTGGAATTGCAAAGCCCTTGAAGTCTCATTTAGCAGATACCTGTCAGCTTTAGCCTAAGCTAATCCGCACCATATTCTCGTAACGTATCTGCACGCAGACTGCACAATAAACGCAAAAGGTGAAATTCATTCACCTTAACTTCAGACACGTTTTAAGCTTCACACCGTGTAAAAATGACATTTTAATGATGGCAAAAATGATTTTTCTAGCTAGGGAAGCTTCGACAGCTTTAATTGGAGGACGGCAGTCAGGGGATTAAGCAACCGTAACCAACCAATTGGCTCCGTAACCAATCAAATTCTAGGTTTTTCAAAACACCAATTAATCTGCACACACCGTAACAATAAATTTAGGCCATATACTGCGGAGTGTTCCTGCCGTTCTACCTGACAAAGAGATCCCTTTAGACAGTCATTCTTTCATGTCTTCCCTCATATATATATTTAGTTATTTATATCCACATGGTAAATATGTTTAAAAAAAAAAAAAACCCAAATATGATGAATAGCAGAGTCTGTGCAAGCTTTTTTATTTTCAACATCTGTGCAAATAATGCCACTATGGGCACAGTTGGATACTGGACAGTAACCGTGGAGGGAATTAGCCAGGCTGCCCATTAGCTGACGAGCGCCTCATGAATCCCGCATTGTGCCTCTAATTTGAAGGGAGGACAGCAGCTAGCGGCGCCGCAAACACAAACTAGCAGCGCTGCAGCCTGCAGTAATGGAGCCTCCATCCACTAGCTTAGCATCACACCCAGAGGAGTCATCCAGCGTCCTGCAAGAGGATGTGACGATCATCTCTGCAAGTTTGAATTAGTTCTGCTACAAAGCTAACACGCAAATGATCAGCCACTTTGTTATTTTATTAATGGCAACAATAGTGCTGGGTGATGGGTGACATGACCGTACAGAATGCGGAATGATCGCCACCAAGCCCGACATGGTTGCTAGGCACTCTCTGCCCTCCAAGACGGTGGTCTGGAACTTTTTCAGCGACAGCTTGCCACTGCAGATAGCTGTGAACGGGGACAGATATAGTTCTTTTGTCAGTTCCTCTATGGGGCACTAGCATTTTAGTTCTGATTTCCCATCGAGGGCTGCCTGCTAGTAAACATCTTTAGTCCCTGGGGTCTCTCCCAGGCAGTATAGGGCATAAGGCAGGGGTACAGGCTGGATGGAATGCCAATCCATCACAACATACTGTATACACATGCTGCTACGGTTACACAATAAACAATTTAAAGCAGGGACCTAGATATTTTGCACATGGGAGTTTTACCAACATAGAAATATTCTGAGGGCAGAACAAAAAATGATTGGTTCAGAGAGATAACCAATCATATGGTAGAGGAGGTGGATCCAAGCAACTAAAAGAGGTGGGACCAACCAATAAGATGTCTTCGTTCCACCTCCTCTAGTTGCTTGGGGTCCACCTCTTCTACAATCTGATCGGTAATCTCTCTGAACCAATCATTTTTCGTGTAAGTAAAACTCCCACAAGCAGAAATTCTGGGCCCCCTGACAAAATGTCACCTTGGGTCCCCTTGCCAAATATTCCATATAATTTTATATATGCAAGGGTCCCTGTCAACTGTTGGGCCACCTGAATGTGCCAGGGTATCCATGCACCTACTGATGCCAAGTCATCTTAGTGCCTGTTTTTGGATAGGAGGATGTAAGGAACGGCATGCAACAAGTAAAACAAGTAAAACACCACCCCCGCCCCACATACTGTACCCAAACATGGAGAAGGGTCAGGATTTCAACTTCCTGCTCTGGAGATGTCATCCAACAGTGTCAGCCACTGTGCCACACTCTTATACACGTGAGTGGGTAGTACCATGATTTACTGCAGAATTTTGACATGGTATTAAACATAAAACAATGAAAGTGTATGCAATATGAAATTCCTCTTAATAATGTAAGACATTATTAGTTTTCATTGGCAAAAACTATGATAAATCGTGCTATAAAAATGAAATACTTGTACAACAAGCATTGACTTCAGCGATGATTTCACAATTTAAAAGTTATCGCTTGCCAAAGTCACCATTTTCCATTTAACATTATCGTAGTAGTCTTGTCGTAATTTGTTTTCTTTTTTTTCCAGTTGCTTTGCTGCTTTTCCATAATGCTTATCCCAGCAGGCCGCAGAGATGCAAACCGCACGAGTACAAAGTACAAAGTACAAAGGTACGGAGAGTTCAAAGGTCACCACAATTGCATGACATCACAAAGAACTGCTCTGGGAAGCAGGGCCAAACAGCACTAAGGCAGCCTCAAACCCTTCCCCAGGCCTCCACAAAACCCGCCATAAACACATCAAAACCAACTCCAACACACCAGCTATGATGTAGAAGTCTGGGCCAAATCAGGACTCAACCACTAAGCTTTTTTGCAGGTGAAAAAAAGAGGAATAACAGAAAAACAGTCTGGTTTGGATGAAGAAATCACAACAGCATAGTTCTGGGAAATGGGAACAAACAAGCATTATCTGCCCAGATTGGTTAAAATCCCATTTCATGCATTTAAAATTTGCGTGAAATCCAATCCATGACAAAAACCCATTAATCAGCAGCCATGTGTGGTATTATAATAACAGGCTATTCAATAATTGGTATAATATGAAATTAGCACATAACTCATGGCTGATGTAAGCTCTAACCTCAGTCTCTATAGTCCAGGGGTGGAAAAGGACAATCAACAGTACTTCATGGTAATATAATGTCATGAAAGACCATTTCATTATCGCAACAACCAAAAAAGGATTAATGTCAACAAACTTTCCTGTTTCCATGCTCCATAGATCTCAATCTTTCTGGGTGAGATAAAGGGAAAATGTCAGCCTCTATTTTTGTAAAGATAAAAATTAGATAAATAAGTTTTATGTTCACTACAAGATAGCCATCCATGAAAATCTAACTGTCATTTTTTAAATAATTATTTTCAACAAGCTGTACCCTGAGCAGGATAAGATGGATGGATGGATGGATGGATGGATGGATGGATAGATGAATATAGTATGGCCAATTTAATTTAATTGAACAAAAGTCCGTTTGAGTTGTTTGCCATAAAATCTTTGATGGGCACTTTAACGGAAGAAGTTAATCAGAAAACGAGTCTCATTAACTCACTACACCCGAAGGGATCTGAATCTCTTAATTCAGCCGATTGCTAGTTCACTTTAACTCATGCTAGCATGACTGTTTGGAGAGCTGCAGCACTCCACAGATTACCCCTTTCCCCACTGTGTCCAACACCACAAAAATAAACCTCATTTACAACTAAAGAAAACAGGAAACAGATACGTGGAGGAGGAGGGAGATCAAGAGGTGTATTGGGCTGCTTTGGAAACAAAGTCGCCTATTGTGAGACTGTGCTGTATAAGGTCCTGAACTCCCTTCAGGCATAGGTGCTGTGATATACTCAACAGTAGGGAACGGCTCGCTAACACTTGTGTAAACAACCCTAAACATGTAAAGAACCTGTTTTTTTCCCCCAGAATTAGACAAAACACGCAGCTCCTTACTCTTTAAGCCAAACCTCTTGAATCATAAAATGCCATTTTATTGATACATGCATAAACCAACAAGATAGATAGATTTCAATAAATGGTAGATTAGGGGTTTTTTTTTGTTTTGTTTTTTTTGGGGTGGGCACCATTGAAAAAGTCACTTTGGGGCCCCCTGGCGTCCCCTAGTGTAATGACTACTTGTGTCCAGCAGAGGGACCCAAGCCTCAGGGGCCCCACGCAAATGCATGCTTTGAGGGGGAGCTAAACGCCATCGTTGATCTCATCTCAGCAAGAAGAGATCCCACTGCATACTGCCTTTTCAAGTGTGATATTGTGCATGCGCGTTCAGCTATTTACATAAAGGGATATTAAATATGACGATAGCATAAACTAAAGCGGAAATTAGGTTTAAGATTTA